TTTCGTGCCTGCAACACGTCTTTTTGTCCGGTCGGGTCTTGGAAGACCAGAAGCTGTGTGGTTCATAAAAACATGTTCTTACTCAATATCTTACCCTAAGCCTAACCCTATCACTTTTATTTTAAATTGTATAATGTCTGAGTTTTTTTGCTGTCAGTGAGGAAAAGAAATGGGGCTCAGAGCCTCAGAATACTGAAATCTGTATTTTATGTCATCTTTTTTTCCTTCTAATTTGTTATTATTTGGTGCAGGCACGAAACATACTACCAATATAAATACATTGCTTCTAAAATCGTTCTGTGTCAGAATACTTAAATCTGTATTTCTTTAAATGTCTTTTTCCTTCTAATTTGTTATTATTTACATTGCTTTTAAAATCGTTCTGTGTGACACGAAAAAAATGGCGAAATCGTGTTGGTGAACACGAATCAATAGATTAATTTCGTGACTATAACACGAAATGCCGTGAGACTGTGTTGCTAGTTTAGCATACTCAGCCCAACTCAGCCTGGTTGTTGGCCCGGAAAGAACCTCGATTTTATGGGGCCAGAAAAACTGTGAAATAGTACCCGCTAGCCGGTACTACGCTAAGTGGAAACGCAACCAAAAACGGGCCCTGCACGGCTCGGCACGCTTAAAGCGAGCTCCGCGCTGTAGTGGAAATGTGCCATAACTGTCCTTACCAGCAGGCAGCGGTAGTGTGAACAGCCAATCAGAGTGATTGCTTGGGCCGACTTTCTCTGACCTCCCGCGGCCGAGGCGTCGGGAGGTGTGAAAAGGTGCCGTAAAGAGACGACGGTGCGGGACACACAAACCTGAGTAGGGCGCCGCGAATGCCCGACTGCCTCTGACAGCCTCTGACTCCCAAAATCGGGCTGGTGTGTCAGGGCCTTTATGGCGCATTTCCACCACACGGTCGGCCTCGGCCACGCTCGGTACTGCTTGGCCGCGTTGGGCCTTAACAGGGCCGGCTCACTTCATGCTGCGCTTCCATTACAGTTTAGGAACTGGGGTAGTTACTATAGTAACGCAGTGTAGGCGGAGCCGTGACGTCATCTTCAACGAGAACCCCAGAAAAACAACACAGCCGTTAGCTGTTAGCACTCAGAGCTCACAGCTCCTTATATATGTTCAGAAACTCGACAAAAGTTAAACAAGTACACACCACAGACTGCCTGTGTCATGGTGAATACAGTCGCTGCTTTATTTATGTCTGTATAGGCCGTTGTTGTGTGTGTGGACGGTCGGAGCATATACTGCGTTAGCTTAGCCAATCTCCATCTAGAAAACACGCATTTTAAAAGGTTTTTCGCCTGCCGTCTGTCTGCAAACTTGCCAAAGCATTAATTCATGGTTTTTACTAACTGGTATCAGTATGTTGTTACTTCGGCATCATTTTGAAACGTGTATTACAATTAAATCACGGTCAAATATGTCCATCTTGTTGTAGTTGTAGCCCCCTTGCCAGCGATCCTCTCTCTAGTTTAGCATACTCAGCCCGACTCAGCCCTGTTTGTTGGCCCCGATAGAACCACAATTTTGTCGGGCCAGAAAAGAGGTGAAAAAGTGGCCCTGGGCCGGGCCGGGCCGTAACTAGGCCTAGTGGAATCGCAACCAAAAACGGGCACGGCACGACACGGCACGCTTAAAGCGCGCTCCGCGCCATGGTGGAAATGCGCCATTAGAGAAGTGCTGATTCGGGGTCCTTAGCTTGAAAATAAAAAAGAGGAGGGTGAGCTAATGCCTGCTTAGAATTCTCCGGAGATAAAGCTAAATGCTGCCATGATTAAATGCCATATCATGTTCCAAACCACATCAATGATTATTTCTGAAACAGTATGGAGCTCAAATGCTTTTTCTCTTGCGGGTTTACCACAAGGTGAGTTCCTTTTTTTATTTCCTGCTTTTTTACACATACTCTCTTCAGTATAGGTTAGCTCTGAGTGTTAGTGAAGCTTGCTAATGTAAACAAAGACAATATTACGTCCAAAACAGTCGGGCATTGTTTCTGATAGCAACGTTTCTGATAGTGCCGTGGGTCCACATCTCCAATATTACGTCATATCGGACGCAAATCTGGATCAGCTCCGTTGTACCCCCGTTTTTAGAGATTGGATGACGGAGGAAAAGAGAGAGGGTTTTGTTTTCTTACACTTTATGAGTTCCCTGACACACCGGGGACACATATTTATGTATAAAAGACATCAAAAAGTGCATTTTGCATGATAGAGCCCTTTTAAAGACTGCAATAACAGTAACCCTATAGTGTAAGTGCATTACCCATCAGACCAAATCAGATCAGCTGCAGTAAAGCAAACTGTGCACCAAAGGGTATACTGAGTCTGGCCAGAAACAATAGAACATGACAACTGGGGAGGGGGGGTGTCATGCAGTGAATGAGACAATAGCTCTGCGAAGAAAAACATGCCTGAGTGTGTTTTCCCTCCCAGTAAAAAGCTGATGAAGAAACTCTGACGGTGCGTTGACGAAAACTGCTGTTGACTGCTCCACCAGCCCTCTGATGTCACTGCAGAGAAAGGACAGGAATAGGCCGAATCCAGCCCCCACCTCAATTTTACCACAGGGGGAAATACCCATAATGCATTACTTGATGCTTTTGTATTGAATAGGCATTACATTTGGTGCTCTGACCCACTTTCTCCACAGCCAGTAGGTTATTTTGAGATTTCATTAGCAGCAGGAACAAGGGAGAATGAAAGGTGAAGAGGCTCTCACACACTGTCACATCAACTGTCCGTTCACATTCAGGAATTCAAATCTGTGTGAGCATGCCTCTCCTGCTTCTCTTCAGCCTGACCACACATTTGGAATTGTTTCCAAATGCAAGGAGAAAATGTGAGTAACTCTGATGATTTGGTATGTTGTTTAGTCCTCTAGTAATGAAGCTGTCATCTTTGCTCCGGGGAATGTATCATTGAGTGTAAAGCCGGATCATGTCACTACTGTTAAAAAACACCAGACTCACCCTGTAGATACCAAAGATATGAAACAATTTAAAAAGCAAGAATAACTTGTACTTTGTGGGCAGAGCTACCAAACTTTCAAACAGATTGTATTTAATTTGCTGTCAAAATAGGACATTTTCAAAAATAATTTGGTCCAAATAGAAAATAAAGGTTTCTTCCAGATTGCAGTAGTTTAAAACAAATACAATTATTAGCTTTCTTGCTGAAAGTTAGAATTGAATATGGATACGAAAAAGCGAGAAGCAGTATTCCATCCCCAAAACAATTTCTTCAACACATTTGATCCATGCAAAAAAAATATGGTCGTCGAAATATGTAAAATACGAAAATCCCTACTTAATACAGCCCTTCAATAAAACAGGGAAACAAAGGATGCTTTTTGAAATGCTGCTAAATTTGTGAAAAAGGTTTTCATAAAACACATAAATCTAAGCAATTATTTCTATTGAAATTATAAATGTAATGGCACTCCATTCCAAATCAGCTGGAAACAACAAACCCATGGAGAGGCCAACACAATCTACTCAATATCTTAAAATAATCTCAGTATTTGTGTTTTTTAAGCCAAGAACTATTTCCCCCAGAGAGCACAAAATCAATTGCTCAAGTCTGACCTTTTTTGCTCTATTCCAGGCCTTGTAATCCTTTTATACAAGGCATTTATTACGCAGCAACTCTGGCACACACTGGCAGTATGACAACAAAACATAACCCGGGCCATTTCACCAGTTCAAACACATTTGACGTGCTTGAACTGGTGAAATGATTGGTGGCTATTACACGCTTCTCTCCGTGAGAATTGTCCAGATGCTCATTCTGTCAAGGTCAGGATCAAAGCTGGACAGGGAGGAGGCACTCCGCAATGACATGGCACCTGCAACCAGGAAAGACACAAAATGCAGTCCCAGCTGGCCCCCCACATCAGTGTGAGTCAAACGGCCGGGGGAGGAGGAGGAGAGCATGCTTCAGGCTCGATTAGGCCGACATCCTATCTCCATATCCAGCTCTGAGCTCCATCACCCGAGTCATTAACACCAAAATCACAGCTGCCACTCTGGAGTATTATGGAGCAGGTGGAGGCTGCATGTTGCTGCTTTCTTTTGGAACATGCTGACCATTTTTGGGGGGAATGCAAAACTGAAATGGTCATATACCTCAATAACATCTTCACTCGGCGTCCTTTTTCATTTGAGGATTTGCTGTGACTTGCTGGTGACAAGGAGAGCAGAAGTGACGATTGCATGCCTCAGGAAGTTGGAGGATATGTGTTGGCAGAGACATCTACCCATCTCTACCTCAGCAGACCAGAATGCATGTGTCCCCTCTGGCTGAGAAACAGAAACATAAGGTCCCCTCTGCTGGGATGAAATTCTTGTACACCATTTAAAACTCTTTTGTTTTTGGTAAACAGATGGTAAAAAAAGGATGAAGAGATGAGAAGTAATAAGAAATGACTGAATGAGTTCAAAACAGTAGAGGGGAACAGGGATTAGGGGGAGGGGACGGACATTGGGAGAGTGAAAGATAAGCAGATAGCGGGCGTGTGAATGGGAGTGACAGTGACACAGTCCCATGCAAAGATAAACAGCCCGAGTGCAGCCTCTGTAATGGCTCTGCACAAGTTATTTGTCACTCCATGTGAAAAGCAAACAGCAGGCAAGGCACTTTGCACTGACACTCACCATCGCCCAAGGATGTCTCGCCAAGCTTTTCCATCTGTTGACACAACTGCTGTGGTCAAGAGACTCAAAACAAATACGCCTCTGACAGCAAATGTAACACCACATCTATTTTTTCTGCATTTCGTTCGTTGTGAATCACATTTCAGCTTGCAGAAGACAGAAGTATGGTTTGATCATGTGATTGATGTTAGGGCTCCTTCCCCATCCCTTGAGATCAGGTGGCTTCTGAAAAGTTCTGTATTCTACTAAATGTCACGTAAAGTATTATCATGTGATAGTGTCTCGATACAGGACACTGAAATATACCCTAGGATAAAAAACAAAGACAACATTTTCATATGGACAGTGTTTTTTCATTTGTTGGCAGTTCAGGACACACTTTGTAACAAATGTCGTTTTTAAATAATTTGGTTCAACGACAGCATATGAATCAAATGGAAAACAAAGTCTATGAGCAAAAAGTAGCACCTCCAACAAAAACAAGGTGCTGGGAAATGGAAATTCACTATCCACCATTTTGGAAGTAAATGACAGGAGGAATGATTTCTCTGATATGTGAGCACTGCCATCTTGTGGCTTTTTCTAACACTACACACACTTCTCTTAAATTTAAAAAAGGAAAACCTATAGGTGACAGCAGCTGTAAATCAGTTGTGTGTATTTTATGTAAAAAAATAAACATATTAAATGTGGGAATGTGATTCTAAATATATTGAAAATAATGTACATTATTGTTCTCCTTGAGATGTGAATACACAAAAAAATGCTACATCAGACATTTCAATCCAGTCTTTCTGATAAGTGGAAAATCATCAAAAGAATGTCAACACTGAAGGCATAATGTCTCACTTCTCCATCCAAATGAAATAATAATCAACCTATTAAAATGCTCTCTACAGCGCCCCCTAGCTGCTGCAGGTGAGAATGCAACCCTCTGGGCCTTTTCCCTGAGATGGGCAGAAGCTCTCCGTTCGCTTTCATAATGTCTATCCTCCGGGACAGGTCAGCGTCACTGTCAATCACCAAGGTGCACCTTTGGGCATAGCTGACCAGGGTCTCTTCTCCTGGGCGGAACACCCCCACCAGGGGGACCATGTCTTTGCCGGCCAGGTGGAGCTCGGCAATACATGCTGTGTTGGCGATGGTGTTCCGGTCGATTCCGAGGTGACGGAAGGCTTCACTCATGCTTTTCTTCTTGATGAAGGATGACAGGACTTGTTTGTAGCGGTGGATGACGTACTGGACTCCGGTGGCTGGAGGAATGAACAACAAGGCATGTTTTTACATTGTTACTACAGAGGTGATGAAGAGTATTTAGTCTTTGCAGACACAGACTCTTGATAAGCACATGCAGAAGTGACTTTGAACATAAAATAAAATACTGTCTGTCAGTCCCACTACAATAGAAAATACTACGTTTTCCTTCGCAATTTTATTTGAAATAGTCTGTTTTATAGATTTACCCTATTTCTATTTCATATCAATTCTAATTTGACATGCTCTAATTTAAATACTTTTTTGGTTCACTTTATTGGTCTGATTGTTTGTCTAATAACTAAAAACTACATATTTTTAGGATTTGGTAGAAAGGGCTAGCATGGCCCAAGTAACCCCACTCAAAATAATAATAATAATAATAATAATAATAATAAATGGTTGATACACAAATGTTGTTTGATTTTCATTAACACTGAAGGATAGAAAATTAGAGCTGCATTTGTGTGGTGTTGGAAGAATTTCATATTTGTTTCCCTTTTGGAAGTCTGTGGGTTTTCTGGGTTGTCATTCTAATTATCAGTATTTATTACCGATGTTAAAAAGGGAGGACATCTACATCCATCTGACATCACATAATTATTATCTTTGCCCTTACAACAGTAGGATTTTTTAATGATAGACTTGAATGGTCAGGGAAGCACACTAGCACAATAAACAAATATTGCAAATATACACATTTTAAATGTTATCTATATTATATATAACCATCTTTATAAAGACAAGACATTATCTTACCCCTTTTCCTGCTGTAGTCCTTCCCTTTCTTCGATCTTTTCTTGTCTTTGTGGTGTTTTTTCCTTCTGTGTTCACTTGAGGCCGCTGAAAATTCTGATGATCCCGACGCTTCAGAGGCGCTGTTGCTGCTGTCAGAGGAACACGAGGAAACTCTTTCTCTCTTCCGAGATTTGCTTTCTGAGTGCTGCACTTTGCTGTGTCTAGGAGCTGCGTATGATCAACAAAAATGACATTTACAACAGTATCCAACCAGTGTAAATCAGACATATGGTCACTGCGGACACTGACCTTCAGTGAGTGGACTGGGAGATGCAAAGGTGGACATGGAGCGGTTACTGGTGAGGTTTTCAATCTGGCTCCTGAGGAACTTGCGGTCCTGCATCAGGTCCTCCACCTGTCTCTCCAGTGCAGCGATACGCTCCTGTTTGTTCTCTAGCATGCACTGCAGCTTGGTCATGGTCAGCAGCACCCGGGGGGGCAGGCTCTCTGCTTGTGAGCCAGCTGGAGGGAGACAAGAAAGAAGAAGCATGAAAAAACACAGCGTTCCATTCCACAGTATTTTTGTTATTTCACTAACATTGTTTCACTGGCGGTGTGGTTGTATCACTATTTCTATTTTATTTGTGTTTACTTGCACATCTGAAAACATTCTCTTGCACTATTTGATCTGTTTTATTTGTTCTATGTCCTATATATATTCATGTTGCACTGTTGGAGGAGCCTGTGACTTAAAGGTGGGGTAGGTAAGTTTGAGAAGCCGGCTCGAGATACACTTTTTGTTATATTCCATGGAATGCTCTTAACATCCCGATAGCAATGAATATCTTAAGTGCTTTAATCCATAAAAAAAAAATTCATCTGTGGAAGCAGTAGTACTGTAAAAAGCACGACCAATCATTTTAGCCGGCCCGGCTCTGTAAGGAAGTGGCAGATTTTTTCCGGCTGTGTATTTTCAAATTCTAGCGCACTCGAGCTGGTTTCTCCAAAATTACCTACCCCACCTTTAAGTTTTTCATTGCCATATCTACACTGTAGCTAATGTGCAAATGACAATAAAGCCTTGAATTGAATTGTTGCTTTCACACCACTTATTTTGTAACCTGTTGAGCGTGGGTAACAAAAATGAACTGTATAAAGAATTAAAACATCATAATCTGACACGAGTATAATCACAAACAAAGCCAGATTCAAAGGGTACATCATACAACTCAAATACAAATGTTTTCTTTCAGATTTCTTTGTTCAAGTTCACAATTGCAACTAGTGGTTCTCATTTGAATAAAGATATGATTGCACCAGGTTATTAAAGGTCCCCTATTATACTGTTTTTCATAAATATATTATAGGTCTCAGATATACAAAACATGTCTCTGAAGTGTTTGGCTCGAAATACCAAACAGATCATGCATTGTAGCATCCCATAAACCCCTCTGTTTCAGCCCTGTTTCAAAAGTGCTGATTCTGGGTCTGTTACTTTAGATGAAAATAAGGAGCCCCACGCCCCTCTGCAAGATATTTGGTTAAAAAGAACACAATAGCCGCGTTCATATGGGCTCAGAACAGTCTCATAATACACACATGCACACATAAGGATTCATACTTGTATTTCATGATCCGCAAAAGGATTCACACTTGTATTTCCGGATCCACACTTGTGTTTGTCAATGCACACACAAATGTGTTCCGTTTCATATACATGTAAATAAAATCCAAATACAGAAAAAAGTTTTACATATGTATTTTTGATCCTCACATATTTGTTTTCCGTTTAAAACCGCTGCACCTACAAACACAAACCGCTTTCTGTGCATGGATCGCTGTGCATTCGTGTGTGTGTTTTTTGAGACTCCACTGACAGTCACCCGATTCGTACTTGTAATTTTTTATATCTATAGCCAATCAGATGTCTCCTCAATTCTAAGCCAATCACATGAGCGCGCCCCCACGAGGGTAGATTTCTTGCATTCATGACGTAGCGCTTCATGTACGCATTTTGCGCTGTCCGGAGCTGACCTGCAGGCGCTAATCTCAGGACACTTCCACTCTCAGTACATTGCCACTTTCCGAGCAGGAAATGCACGCAAATACAAGCCTTTATATTATTAAGGTACAGTGCCACTTTCCGAACCATTAATGAATGCTTGTGTACACAAAAACGGCAGGCAAAACCGTTTTAAATGTGTGTTTCCTGTATGGCGAATACAGCTGCTTTATTTATGTCTGTATGAAGTTGTTGTGAGTGTGGAGGGAGCAGCTACAGGTTAGCTTAGCCTAATCGATCAGTGCACTACGAAGCCAGTGCTAGACAGTGAACTGTCAACGGGGGGAGCCCCGCCGGTCATTATCGGCCGATATTCACTCTTAATAGTTTGATCGGTGCTCTCTATAAAGGCCGATCAGGAGAGCTGGATCTGATCGATATGGACATAAACGCGAGTGAAGTTTTAGCGAGCTGCATGAGAAACTGACGGGCTGTCAGGAGAGAGGGAGGGAGAGAGGAAAAAAGAGATGATCCTTACTCCCGTGTTATTAGCCATATCCGGTCATAGTCCGGTAATTACCTGCTAACGGAAACTCTGCTACACAATTCTTATTATTATTATTATTATTATTATTGAAACATGACCGGTAAGTTTCAAATTTGTCCGGTAAAATTAATTCTGTCTGCGGAAACCCTGCTCCGGACAGCGCAAAATGCGTATATGAAGTGTCATGAACGCAATAAATCATACCCTCGTGGGGACGCGCTCATGTGATTGGCTTAGAATGAAGGAGACATCTGATTGGCTATAGATAGAAAAAATTACAAGTACGAATCGGGTGACCGTCAGGGGAGTCTCAAAAAACCCATACACGAATGCACAGCGATCCATGCACAGAAAGCGGTTTGTGTTTGCAGGTTCAGGGGATTTAAACGGAAAACAAATATGTGAGGATCAAAAATACATATGTAAAACTTTTTTCTGTATTTGGATTTTATTTACATGTATACTGTATGAAACGGAACACATTTGTGTGTGCATTGAAAAACACAAGTGTGGATCCGGAAATACAAGTGTGAATCCTTTTGCGGATCATGAAATACAAGTGTGAATCCTTCTGTGTGCATGTGTGTATTATGAGACTGTTCTGAGCCCATACGTTCACACCGCGTACTTTGCAGTACTTAGTGCCGGCACTTAGTGCCCCGGCACTTATTACCCCAGGGCACTAAGTACAGATCGCGTTCACACCGGAGTACTTTTCCCTGAGGGAAGATTACGCAAATGAGCCGCTGACGTCACTTCGTCTTCTTCTGCTTTGGGTTTACTGTCAGGCTGCAAACAACTTCACGGCGTATACTGCCGCCCGAAGTCCCGGCCGGAAGTCCCCGGAGTTGGGGACTGGTTCCGAGTAAATCGCCAGAACGCCGACACCTCCTCATCACTCCACCGCTCCCATGTTTTTTTTTGTGTTGCCATAAGTTATGGCGCGTTTCCACTACAGCGCGGAGCACGGTTTAAGAGGGCTGTGACGTCAGCGGCCCGTTTTTGGTTGCGTTTCCACTTGGCCTAGTACCGGCCGGCGGGTCCTAATTCACAGTTTTTCTGGCCTCATAAAATCGTGGGTCTCGGGCCAGAGACAACGAGGCTGAGTCGGGCTGAGTATGCTAAACTAGAGAGAGAATCGCTGGCAAGGGGGCTACAACTACAGTACAACAAGATGGACATATTTGACCGTGATTTAATTGTAATACACGTTTCAAAATGATGCCGAAGTAACAACATACTGATACCGGTTAGTAAAAACCATGAATTAATGCTTTGACAAGTCTGCAGACAGACGGCAGGCGAAAAACCTTTTAAAATGCGTGTTTTCTAAATGGAGATTGGCTAAGCTAACGCAGTATATGCTCCGACCGTCCACACTCACAACAACGGCCTATACAGACATAAATAAAGCAGCGACTGTATTCGCCATGACACAGGCAGTCTGTGGTTTGTACTTGTTTAACTTGGGGTTACCTTGGTTGGTTATTGGCTAATGCCAAAAAGCCAAAAAATCGTTATGACATCATAAAGTGGCCAAAATCTGATCAGCTCATTTTCAGACAGGTTTTTATATAAATGGATCAGGACAAAAAGTGACCAAATCTTTTTCCTGAAACTTTCAGAATCTCTTTACACGGAGGGGACACCTGTTTATGTATAAAAGACATGAAAATGTGGATTTTGCATAATAGGTGACCTTTAAAGCGTATATACCAACATTGACATATTTTCAGAGAAGTGCAGTTACCTGACATGGCGCTGCTGGGTGTGTTGTCCTGAACGGAATCAGCTGAGGCAGCAGTTTGGAAGTTCTCCCACTTGATGATGCGGAGGTCGTCTTGTTCCTGCTTCAGCCAGGCCGGAGAGGTGTGTGTGTTTTTTACCCTCACAGAGCTGGAGTCGATCTCCACGCAGGGGGAGTACCCTGACGGCTCCTGCTGCCACACAGACGACATCTCTGCAGACCTGGGGAAGCACCAGAGGGAGTAAGGGATCCTGTTATCTAGAACCGCCTTTTGGCGTAATTTGGTAAAATTTTCAACATCTTAAAACATTGGCAACGCTTAACATTACATTACATGTTACTTGTTAGACGCTTTTATCCATAGCGACTTACATACTCAATACTGTGGGCAATCCCCACAGGAGCAATTTGGGGTGAAGTGTCTTGCCCAGGGACACAACGACATGCTGACTACAGCGGGGTTTGAACCTGTGACCCCCTGATCCGAACACCTACGGACAACCCACTACGCCACACGCCTCCCAGCTTAAGCTTAAAACTTTGGTCCATGCATATTCTGAGTACTCTCATCATATACTGAACTTGTATAAACTGAGAATGATGGACAGACTGATTACAAAATTATTAATATGTTTTGGGTTACTTCTCATGTAAGAATCTTGTATCTGTAACAAGGTTGTCCTATGCCAACACTTTGTTGTGGCAGACATTTAAGGAGATTTAATGTGAAAGCTCTAACTAAAATTATTACTTTGTAAGAAATTCAGAAAGTAAGCAAAACCATGTTATAGCCAAACAATTTGTAAAAGGCATTTTATTCACAAAATCAAAAACATATGGAGGTGTTTTCTCAAAATTAGGAGGACTAATTTTAAGAGGGGATAATTGTCCTATTTTTAATTGCATATTTCCTTCATTTGAACGTTTTTTGAATATAGTTTTATATATAAAAACATCCCGATGTTTTAATTATGAAGTATGAAATCATTGCCTGCCTGGCAGTCCCTACAGCTCACATCACACTTGCAGAGAGAAGCATTAACACAGGCTTCTAGCAGGAGGAATGTTTGTGTCAATAGTTAGCACACATTAAACTTGGACTAAAGCTGTTTCTATAGCAACAAGATACAAATCCTGCAATTATGAGATCTTAATCTTATAATTACAAGATAAGGATCTCGTAATTATTAGATATTTTATGAAATAAGGATCTTGTAATTATAAGATTTTACAATCAAAAAGAAAAAAGAAGAAATCAAGGCGTGGTGCTGTGGGTTAAACGTACTATAGCAGTGATTATTTAAGTTTGAAATGATTATATGAAGGCCATGTAATACAGAAATACGTTTTATTTAAAAAATAAAAACAATTGGAAGGCTTTTTCATAGTTATTCGAATCTCAAGTGCCAATTATCATATTATTGCATAGTGACTTCTTAATGGTGAGCAAGAGGAATTCCTGATAATGTCATAAATCACATTATTTGATGTTTGTAACCGTATTATAAGTAGTTGCCTTATATAGTTACTGGATGCACAATATCCACAAATATAAGAGTTGGTGCATTCAGGTGCTTGATACCTACACAATATATTCAATGGTAGAACAGATTAATGAAGAGCAGTAAACTATCTACTTGTTTTTGTTGCAGGAAATGGACATGACTGTTTGTACTTAACGTCTCCATGGAGATGATGATGGACTACATGTGCAAGCTGCAGCACCTGAACACACCACGCTGCAGTGATTCATCTGGTCTCAACACCTGACACAATGCATTAAATTACTCTTAAGGGAATGAACTATCACAGTCATATATATTGGACTTTCACATTTTTGCACATGGGGTACAAATACTAATTAAATTCGATAATGCAGCGGAAAGTCAGCAGGACTAGTAGGGGATTTAATGAGCTTTTACCAAGATGGATGCTAGTAATGACTGTAATAACAAGCAATAGGGGTAAAAGGGAGCAACAAAGCCGGTGAGAAGAGGAGAACGTACCTTCAAGGTCCAGCGGTTAATAACGGTGTTCGATGTGTGTCTGTGCTTGTGCTGCTGTACGCTGACGTCTCACTTTGTATTAAGTGCACAGTTTTTCGAAAATATAAACAGAGACGAGAAAAAATCCAGGCCCTGGAGCCAACAATACAACATGCATTTCTGAGAAAGGGGCGGGGCCAGAGAGAGCACTGACGCACTGACGCAACCATAGCATGCAACGCTGCACTCAGGGACTCTACGAAAAGTTGTACCATCTTTACTGTATGTGAATAAGTCAATAGTATGAATAAGTGACGTAAAAAGAACCGGTTGCAATGCTGCAAATTAAAAATGTAATGTTACCAGCATGGGCGGTCCGGGACGTTTAAGAAATGTAATTTAATAAGTAAGTTTCTGCATAAATAATGTATTTATTACCCCAAACTTCTTTTAATGTTCTTTATCTTTGGCCAAAGTAACACAACATTAAATCTCCTTCTTTCTGCATTAAATGTGCCCCTCATTAAATTATTGGCCCCCTCACGGCCCCCAATTAGTCTAGAACCGACACCAGATGTTCTTCATTGAGAATCATAATAATTTCCTCAAATGTATACATTTGAAGAAATTATAAAGACAGAGTTGTTAGATTATGACTGTTTAGACTATTTTACAGCTACTTAGAAAGAAAAAAGTTGCAACCTGTGTGATTTAGTGTGAACTGTAATTCATACCACATGGAGGTGGGAGAGATTACCAGCTGGGTAATTTGAGTGGCACATTCACAAGTACCCTACTGTGTTTTTGAATCCCTCGATAAATGTAGGGTAAAAATGTTCTGATTTGGTTTTGGGATAGTCTTTGAATAAAGCTTAAAGCTACTAGTAATAACCATCAACTGTGAGCGGACAAAATATCATGTTTGTAATGATAATTTCCCACTTTGTGAGTTTGCATGTAATTTAATCTTATACTTCCATATTTCCAAAATACTTGAAGGCAGCAAAGTGACAAGCATAAAGGGGGTGTGTCATTTCATTGAATGTGAAGTCTACAATCTTCAGTGGCTGATTGGAAGGTACACTTGACAGACAGCCACTGTATGTCTGATAATGAAAAGTCCTATTGACATTATTGGTTGCCTCAGGTTTTAATGCATATTTTCTATCAACACAGTATCAAACACAGTTGAATGTCAAACAAAACCAGATATGATGGTGTTACAGGGAACTTTATTTGCACGTTTACTAAAATTCTTTGGCTATAGAGGGGCAATCTCTAGTCCAGGGGTGTCAAACTCAAGGCCCGGGGGCCAAATCCGGCCTGCGACTTCATTTTATGGGGCCCGCAAGAGCTTGCAAAGAATATAATACGTTTATTATACGGTTACATGCGGCTTTACAGAAGCACGTTGCCAATAAACGACATTTCCCACAATGCATCTCATTTTGTGACATGCGCACTGAAGAGACTTGCAATTATTTGCCCTAGACTTTTGCCTTCAGACGTAGTTAATTATGAAGTTATTACCCTATCCGATAATAATCCAATGCAGAGGCAATAATGTAATATAATACATTATTTTATATTATATATTTATATAGTCTTAAAGTTACAACTGGCCCTTTGTGTGCAACCATAATGCTAATGTGGCCCACGATGAAATTGAGTTTGACACCCCTGCTCTAGTCAGACGACTCTACCTGTTGATGTTTACAATAGTGGTCATTTTAACAGATCTCAGCTGCCTTATATAGACACATAATGACACAGACTCTCCAGATGTTCAATGCTTCTTACAGGTTTCTTCAGATATAACCTCTGGCCTACCTAAAACAGTAAACTAAATAATATATTTGTTAGTCGCAAAATACAAAAAAATATACATAACAAGGTGAGGTGTATTTGGATTTTTCAAGTGTTTTCTAGTTGTAGATAATAAAAATGCAACATGTATCTTTCAATAAGCATCTGTTAAAATATATATTGTCCTCTGCAAATCAGAAAATTAATAATTCCATTCACCTCACATGCTACCAGCTAAGATTCCTTCATTTCCAACTTTCACATTTCTTCTTTAAAAAGCACAAACACATGGACTGATTGCATAAGTGGTAACATCAGTTAAGTCACTGAGTTTGGGGCATAGAGGGTGAAAGTTTTAGATTAACACATATAAAGAAATATTGGATTCAAACGCAGATTAATACTTAAACAAGGTAATAATGTAACACTATTGTCTTTTTATATTAGTAAATGCAGCAGCAGAAAGAAATGCTGAGGCTAGATTAGATTTTTCCCAGTGTACAAACATGTTTACAATGTGATTACTCTATCAAGCCTTACACAACCTGATCAAATGTAGTGTAATTGCATCAGTGTGATTACAGTTGGCTCCTGGAAAGGTATAAATTGGTGCTTGTTTACAGTGACTTTAACTGACTGTGTAAATGCTGGTCAAAGTGTAAAGAACTGGAGCTAAGAAATGGGCAGTAATTGACGGACACAGAGTTCATGCCAATTTCGGTATAAATGATTGTTGAAAAAGTTTAAAAGAGAGCCACACAAATTCACCGTAACTCAGATTTTAGACAACACATTAGCTGATTATTCTATCACTTTCACCCTCCTGCTCCCTACATACTGTAATGTCACATGGACAGACTGAGTTAGTTACAGTAGTTAGACAGAAAACAGATGCGCCCTCAGTATAAACAGTTGTCTCTGACTGTTTTCCACATCCACCCTGCCTAACTCTCAGACTTTTAGTGGCAGATGGCCACGAGGAGACGTTTAAAATCACCGCCGCACTCGTCCTTTATGGCGTTCTTCAGAGACACATCGTACTTCTCCAGGTACATTTCTTTGATGGTCTCCAAGTCATACTGTTGGCAACAAGAAAACACATATTTTACATTCCCCTCATTTTTACTTTTAACTTATTTTGGCTTATTCTTTTCTTCTCCCTTACCAAACTTGGTTCGCACTTAGTATAGTAATTCTGCAACTTTGCACTTTGCAATACTATAAAATAATGTCACATATGCTGTACGAGAGACAGCAATTTATTTATCTGTACATATTTGTTGATCTTTTCATGCAATTACCTCAGAGCGAACCACGATGATGCGAATAAGGGTGTCCTCGTCAGTGCCCGCTCCTTTCATCGCAGCGTTCAAACGTCTGGCAAAGTAGAGCTGAGGGTTCTTAGCAACTCTTACTGTGGGGAGGAAAGAAAGGCTTTCATTAAAATAAATAAAATAAATAAAATAAATAAAATAAATAAAATAAATAAAATAAATAAAATAAATAAAATAAAATAAATAAAATAAATAAAATAAATAAAATAAATAAAATAAAATAAATAAAATAAATAAAATAAATAAAATAAATAAAATAAATAAAATAAATAAAATAAATAAAATAAAATAAAATAAATAAAATAAATAAAATAAATAAAATAAATAAAATAAATAAAATAAAATAAAATAAATACAATAAATACAATAATTAAGATATCAGATTTCAGGACATACACTGGGTATTTTGACAATTAACACTTTGTATTATTTACTTACCAAGAGCTTTGTAGCATTTCTTAAGTGTCCCGGAAGTCTCATTCTCAATGACATCCAGGATTTCAGTTCCACAAAGCTATGGAGAACAAATTGCTAGTCAAATCAAAGCACTGGGAATGAGTGGTTTCTTTTTCCAGGTCTACAATTTCCTCTAATCCTCTAATACAGTGGTTCCCAACCTGCCCCTACTAAACTTTATCTTGTTTCTGCTGCTGGCAGTGGATGGGGGTAAATTAACAGTTTTCACAGTGTTATGTGAGCAATATCAACACCTCGCCTTGGGGGGGCGCCAAAGATCGCAGGGGGGGCGCCAGGCCTCAGATGATTTGAGGCCAAATATCATATTTAGACTTTTTTTTTTTTTACATATAATTGTAACGCAATACATGATTGTCACTAAAAGCCTTGTCTCTACATTACAATAAAATATAAAAAATAATTGATTAATTAATTTGAATAAAAATTCAAGTTAGTAGCTATTATAGGCATAAAAACACAGAAATGTATAATTCTTTCTTTAATAGAAATGTTTCTTCTGCCCGTAAAGTGTCCAAACCAGGCTTTTCTGGATAAGCGCATTTTTAAAACATAGTCATTGTCCATGCCAGTTTCAGATTATTTGTCACAGTTGCTCTGATCAGATCGGTCTCCTCCATTTTGTAGATTATTTACGACTTTTGAATACACATAAACACATCGGCAAAATCCGGCTTACTTTGAGCATGTGTTTTAAACAGTTTAATCCCTTTGTGAATTGTTTCCACTTGCGCCGTCCTTTAATTTCTTCATACAGCGGGAATCCAAATAAATTAATCCTGAGTCCAATAACCATGCACTCCAATAGTGCTCCTTAATTACGCTTTCATCCTCCTTTAACAAAATACTTCAAATTCATCCAGTTTGGGACAGTAGTTGTAGCATTTTTGAGACTTTTAAACTTTAATTACCGCTGTGCGCCCCCCCCCTTGTGTGTGTGTGTGGGGGGGGGGGGGGGGGGGGCGCACTTCCAACAGGAGTCATTTGGGGGGGCTCTTGGGAAAAAAGGTTGGGAACCCCTGCTCTAATAGAAGGTGCCTACTTGTTTAAAGCCCCTAGAAAAAGTCTGACTGCACGTGCATGAGAAGCAACAACATTTCTCAAGGGTAATGTAAAGACACCACCCCGGATCAATTCACATGCTGGCTGAAGATTAGATTTCAGGTCATATAAACTGATATGCAATATCACTGCAGCTATCTATGGACAGAGTGACACCCTAACCTACCTGCTCATATATCTTGAAGGTGGCCTGGAGCTGCAGGTAATTTCTGGAGGCCAGGACGTAGCTGAAAGTGGACTCATCTGTCCCAAAGGAGCCCTCACCAGCCTGCATCAGAAACAGCAAATATTAATGATAATATTCAGGATAAATTAATATGCCATGAGGATATAATGAATTATATTTGAAGTACCTCAAACAGGCAGGTAGCATCTGACTCGGCCAGCTCCTCATCCACCTCGTAACTCTCGTCTCTGTCGCCCTGGAAGACAAAAAAGCAAGATGACTTCTGCTGAGGCCTTCAGTAACTGTATCTGGCCTACGTTTCACTTATGAGAGGGGGTCTGGATTGTGGCCAGTGTGTGTGTGTGTGTGTGTGTGTGTGTGTGTGTATGTGTGTGTATGTGTGTGTGGTGTGTGTGTGTGTGTGTGTAGGGACTACTAGGGCAAGGGAGAGTGAGCTCAATTTCAGTCCTACAGCAGACGTGAGAGTTCAGTTACTCGAGCGGAGTAGAAACTCATGGCCTCTTACCTGCATCAGAGCTGTGAGCAGGTTTCTTACGTCCCCGCTAGTCTCCCCTTCGATATCTGCTTCAAGATCACGCTCATGCACTGAAAGACACATTGTAAAGTAAAGATCAAATAAAGCAACAAGTTTAATTTAAGCCTCAGTGTTTAGACAAGCCCAGATACTATCGTGCCAAAAAGTATGGCATGTTTACTGCAACCTCTGTTTAATTTGTAATGAAAGTTGGTTTGTGTACCCATGCTCCCTTAAACAGCTTAGTTCAAAGTCTATCTGATTTCCTTCTTAAAACACCAGTATATATTCATGTGATGTTCTTAGCTTCGTTAATGATGGATTCCTGCCTTTAGGACTACCAGTTTTGAGTCAAGAAAGCATATTTTACACTTCACTGATGCCAAATTAACTGAGAATGTACAGCAACTTAATAAAAAAAAAATAATGATTACAAATCAGAATACAATAAGATTCCAAAGGGTTAGCTAGACTAAGGGTACTGTTGAAGAATCAGTACATTGACTAAATAAACAATTGGATTTACAAAAGAGGGGATAAGGACTAGGTTCTGTGTTACAACTTTGATTATTTATTTACTACTCCCTATATAAAGGGCAGCGAATAGTTTACTCATTAGTGCCAGTAAGGAACTATCACATGAGAGGAAAATAAAATTCCCCCCAGGTGGTACAGCAGGTTATTTATTCTCGTGAACCTATACATGGAGTCTACAAGAAAACAGTAAAAAAACGTCAAATATTGTGGCTAGCTTGGTTAGCAAAATGCTAAATGTTGTATCTGGCCAGAGCAAAGCACCAAGGTTAGCCAAAAAATGATAGCTAATGACAAATAGCAAACAACCCGATAAGCTAACTTGCAACCACAAGCACCAAAAGTTTCTCTGCCACAGCCACTCAAACACTAGCTTAATTTTTACTTTTCAGAATACCACCATAGCCTACTAGAAGGTGCCATTGAGAAACTATTATTTTTGGTATATTTCAAAGAATGATAGTATTCCCTCCTTCATGGCTAAGTAAACCTTAAATAATGAAAGAATAAATAACTTTGCAGTCTACGGTACATCTGTCAGAACTGCTATCATGTTGAACAGGAAGCTGCAGCAGGATGGCCCTTGACTAAACAAAGTGTGACTGAAAACTACAGTTCCAGAATAGTACTGTACTTTAGCCCTATGTAGGTCCCAATGAGTCACCCATAGCCATTTCCTCCAGGGTTCATAATACAAGGAAGGGAAAAAGTGACATTAAGTAATTTATTGGGTAAGAGGTTAAACAACTGCAAAGTATGATTAATAAGCTACATAAAATATTAAAAAACATATAACAACAAAACGGATGTGATGGATGTGGCATCAAGTAAACTAAGGTAATTGTATAAAATGGCTTACCTTGAAAGTAGTATTCCTTGAACATGGCGATGTCCTATGGGAAACAATTATATAGAATGAACACAAATCTAGAATATTTTACAGTAAAACATCATATGCTTATTTAATTATTGTATAGGGCCTGAAAATTATTTGGACATAATGCCACACATATTGTTGATGATTAATTAATAAATTAGTTGAACTGTTTTTGACTTGTGACTGACAGCGTTGGTGGCCGTGCAGAGGATCTCCACCAGGGTGTCTTCATCAGTGCCCGCCCCCTTCATGGCCTTCCTCAGCTCCTTCACAGCGAAGACTATGGGCAGGTCCAACATGGCGAGGATGGCGTTCTCAAAGCTCCCTGCCAGCTCCTTCTTCAACACATCCACCAACTCCTATTAGAGGGAGAGAGAATGTAATTGTTATTGGTGGAAGAGGGCAGAAACAGAATATTCCAAATACAAATGTAAGTGGTACATTTCTGTGGATAACTGAATGACACTCACATCATCATACTTTTCAAAATATGCGTTTTTGATTTCCTGACGCTGATCTGCACTGCGGTCTGCCAAGATGTCAATGATGGCCTGCTCATCAGTTCCTATAGAGAAAATAAAACAGATGCGGTACAAGGACAAACAATGTCTTACAGTTACATTACAAAAATTCAATTAAATCTTTCCATCTTACCAAACCCTTTGCAGGCTTTGCGGATGGCCTTGATGTCAGCAACGACATCGAAATCCTCATAGGGCACGATTGTTGGCTGAGGGAATAACAAAAGATTGGTATATAGGCGAAGTGAAAATCTATAAACAGATCCTTATAATAATGTACTTATCAAACTTATCATTGTTTCCGTAATTGAGGATCAGAGCGGTTCGTGATAGCAATGCAGGAGCAGCTGTCAGATGGGGGAGGGGAGGTCGATGACACAATGCTTGGGTGGAGGAATTTCGGGGCCAGAAGTCTTAAACAAACTTGGTGGGGGCCACATGAATTACTGGCAACTTCCATAGTGTGGGCCAGGGGCCAGCAGGGGACTGAGAGGAGGTTCTAGTGACCTATATCCCTCACATTAAAGAGTTGAATCAACTTTTTACGAGAGGATGTAAAGTAAACGATTGACAAAATCTTCACAGAATGTTTGACCTCACCAAAACTTCAATAGAATTGTATTTATTGTTTGTTAGGTAATGATAATGTTGGGAAATGGGGTACTAGGGTTATCTGTCACCACTTGTTTATAGCGGGTAGCTGGCTCCTCCACATTAACTTTTTCATTTCTCAAAATAACAAACATTATTCCTAGGGATTAGGGTTATTTAGAGAGTCTGACAAAAACAAAAAAATTGCGTATTTAGAGTCTGTGGCAACAGATAACCCACAAGTACCGAACATGTCATTCATTATTTGCCAATTAGTATTATTGAAGTTGCCAATGAGGTGAAACAATAGATAAATGAGCACAGAAAGACACAGATCTGGCAATTATGATGGACACCCTCCCCCCATCCTTGCAGTACTGCTGATTTACATACAGAGCCCTGCTCAGTCATTTACACACACACACACACACACACACACACACACACACACACACACACACACACACACACACACACACACACACACACACACACACACACACACACACACACACACACACACACACACACACACACACGTCTAACGGAGCTGTGATGAATTCCGCAGAGGAGTGGCCCCTTCCACTGCGTAAACCCAGACTCTGCTGTCTGTCACACGGTGTCAGCAGCGACGTTTACAGTACATTTAAAGAAACACCGAAAAATATGAATCTGACACCATAGTGCTGAATATCAGTTGAAATAGTAGGATATTAATCGCGATGTAGAGTATGATGTGCGCAGAGATTGGCTGGAAACAGATGCGTTACAGTGCTCGATCAATGATGAGAAAAAAGCAATACATTCGGTATTCTATTAGAAATTGACACCTGAATCAAACATCTAACCTACATTTTGGTTAAGCTTGTCAAGTCGAAACTACTCTTTACACGTGTAGGCTATAGCTAAATCTAAACTGCAAACTGTTAAAGATCGTCTCTAACCAAAGAGTGTGTAGCACACTGTGTTAAGACAATGGTACCTACTTGACAGTTGCCCATTTTAAAGATGTTCGTCCGGTTTCAGCTGGTGATCTGATGGGTAAAAGTCGTAGAGTAGTTTGTACTAGCTTACTTCTAATCCTGATACGAGCGGCGGCCCAAAGCAGCTCAAACCAGCGTGTGACGTCACCACGGAACGCTGCATAGTCCGTTAGATTAACCATTTACATCCTCACCACTTTACAATAGGTCAGCAGCTAGAGAAATACTCAGACCCTTCACTTAGTTTAGGGAGTAATATCGGAGTAATACCAAAGGGAATACAAACTCTGTCACAAATGATAGTAGTGTTTTCAAAATCGTACAAAGTATAAGCTTCCAAATCTACACAAGTAGGTTACCAAAAATGAAAGTCCTTATAATGTAGGCTATAGGCCTAATGGTCCTTGGTCCATTTCAGAATCTTATAATTCGAATAATAATTTGTGATGCATAACTTTGTAAGATTCAGGCTATGGTAACAATCACTTGTTTAATTCGTATTTATACATAAGCATGTATTAGCTATTGTGTTACTTTGGTTAATCATAAAAACAGTGTCACAAAATAAACAACTAACAAGTCGAGGCAGCAGTAGCCTAGAGCAACCCCATTGTTATAAGAGCTAAAATGTCTGTTTTTGTCAATGTAGTCTGGTGATTATGAAGAAAGCATGGGTAATGCACTGACTATGGATTAGTACTCATGCAACCCCACTTAAAACAATCCAAACCACATGTTTCCCTTTAATTAAATAATACATTATTACAGGGAGTAGGCTATCAATAGATCCTATTGATATTATTTTAGGAGAATAGAACTAATAAACTAGGAGTTTAATAATGATAAATGACTAAGTATAAAGAAGGCTTTAGTGAGGTTACCACTGAATATAGGAGCCATATTAAGCTTTATTGCAGTGACTTAACAGCATGGGTAATGATTTTTCACCCACCCGACATGACACATGGTCAAGCCAGAGTTAGACATCCTTCAGCCCTAATTTACTTCACTCTCTTTAATGTCCTTGAGCAAAATGCTAAATCCCCTCTTGTTGATGTAATCGGCTGACCATAAACTCTGACCTTCCTTGACCCGAGCTAACTGCTGCGGTTTGGATCTTTCATGCTGGTCATGCAAAATGAAGTGGAATGTTTCCCATATTTGTAATTCAGTGAAACACGTCAGATGACCCAGAAAAGGAAATTAATGAATTTATGAAATACCTTTAAAACTGATACTCTTCTTTCACCCAACTAAACAACCATAATTCACTAGTTGGTAAAAGCTCAGAAAAAGTTACAATATGTTGAATAGTTGTTTCTGCTTTTAGTGTGTAATTGTTACGTGCTGCAACAATGACCCAAAAGATACATCTTCTGTAGAATTAAGTGCTTTATGTTATAATTACCAACCTCGCCAGCCTGCGCTCTAACCATTGGTATTTCACTGTCCCTACATCATAATTACCCCCTACTGAAGAGGAGAGCCGCTGCTGCCCTCCATAATAAAGCCCTTTGGTCTGTATAAACGTAATACATGCACACAGCGTATGAGTAAACTGTTTCCATTAAGAGCTTGCTCACGTCACACTAACTGAGCCATGCAATTACATGAAGATGATTCATCCTTTTTTCACTGTATAATTATCTGGAAATAACCTGGAATGGGAAACTTTAGGGATAAATTGGTCATTCAAACAATATAGCTGTTTATAACTGTATGTAGGCTGTGTGTATGTACGACTCAATTACAGTAACAACATATTCAGGGCGACAGTAGGATTTAAATCAGTAAAGACAACATTCACTGACCTGTTTAGGTTGATGTCATCTCAAACTTTCAAGCAAAGCAGGATCAATCTTTGCAGAGTTTGTGTCGTGACTATTATGAAACACAACTTTAAAACTCATGTTTCAATGTTGTTCCTGTCAGGCTCACAGTTGTCTTGTAAAATAGGGTTTCTGATTTGATTTCCTATTCCTCCTAACATTAGAACTCTTAAACCTTATATACAATTTTGAATTAATAGGAATAGTTGGACATTTTTGGGAAATGATGCTCCTCTTCGCTTGCTTGCTGGGAGTTGATGATAAGATTAATAACACTTGAGAGGGGTATCAATCTTCTCATCTCATCAAAATGCCAAACCGTTCCTTGAGGACTGGACTTGATCTAAACTGCTGCAAGATTGTACTTTCTAGTGATTATTTAAGGACTTGACTTCAGTGCTGCTGAGTTGCATAAAGTAAATCCTCCAATTCAGTTTGTTTTGAGGTAAAGCAGTACTAGAAACAATTGTATGATTATGTTATTTAAATATGTCTTTTTTGAGTGTCGATGTCAAATTAAGAGGCGACTTGGACTTGCTTTAAAGGACTTATATGTATTCCTTATTAAGAATCAATGAAGGCCTCTCTTGGATTTAGAGTTCTCGGGTTGTTCACATTTTAGACTTTTCGGTTGAAGTTTATTTACATTCTGTAATTCTTTGCAACCATCAGAATTTGCTGCTGAAACAGCCCAAATATCCGATGTCTGCAGAGAGAGTACTTTTTGCCTGTCTGCTCCGTAGCTCTCAGTTCGGGGATGTTATGGTCTTCATTTCAGAGGCGGTGGAAGGGGGTCCCAGTGAAGCCTCTATCACGGATCTGGAAACAAAGGCAGCATTCAGAAGAGCCGGCCAAAGTAGCAGGCTGTAATGTTATGCTGGCCCAGGACCCAAACTCAGGTTTCACACAACTTGTTTAGAGTCTGACAGGCTCCTACTGTTAGGATCCACAGACAGAGGTTTGACTTTCACATGCAACTAGACTAATACAATGTGTGGAAAGAAGGTCAGAAAGATAGTTTAATTCAAAACATGTTTTGGGGTGACCAAGCTATGCAGGAGTCTCAAGTCTCAATGGGAGGAAATCACTTTTTCCCTCTATTTTTCCTTATAAATTCAAAGACTACAGGAGCAGTTTTCTTGTTTACCACAAGAACCACAATCCTCATTTGTTACAAAATATGTGTGTGGCTACAGACTCTCTTTTAGTTCCTTTTTTTCTAAGCCAGTGCGATCAGAAGACATTCTGTGAACACTAGGCTTTTGTTACAGTAAACAGTGCATTGTTCACCTGCTCCTGGGGTAAAATCCCGGCAGTGTCAAGGTTTCTGCTCCGTTTCACTGTACCCTGCTGGTGGTTTTGGGCACCACTTCTTGGCATCCCCCAGGTTTGCTGCTGGGTCTCATTGTGCTGCAGATGTTGGGAAAAATGTGACACAAACATTAATGACTAATCTATCAAAGTGATCATAAAACTACAGGGCAAAATGCAATACTGTATTATAAGTATTTATACTATACAAAACTAAAATAACAAACTTTTTGATCGTCAACAGCCTTTTTCTGTCTCTCCTTTTCCACTTGTTGTTTCCTCTCTTCTACCTGCAGGCACAGGTCTTGGTAATACTGCCTTTTTTTTCCCTAAAGAAAACATACATTTGACAAAATTGTAACATAGAGTTTAGTAATGTCTGGAGTAATTATACAGAGGACAAAATATATAGTAGGACCTCTTTAGACAAATTCAGGCTCATTCCGGGGGCTTCATTCTGATCAGCAGCTGATACTGAGGCTGTTCCCTGGAAGAAATAAAATCTCAGCACACTTAGTATTTCCTTGTGGTGAACACTGCTAGAAATGGATCAACATCTACATCTAGTGGTCATATCCACTAACTGCAATCTAAATTTGCCTTAAAGGATTGGTCTGGTAAGATCCTGAATGTTCTAACTGTCTAACAAATCCCCTAAAATACAAACGAACAAGGAATTTATCTAACTAGAAATCCCGATGTCTTATTTCCCTGTGCAATTACTGCCACAAGAAGTACTCAGATCCTTTATTTAAAGTCAAAATGCCAAGTTCTTAAAATATCCCATTACAAGAATAGTTCTAAAATGAAAAAAAGTTAAATTACTCAGTATACAGATTGGATATTTTAGCAGTAATATGGTGTTATTATATACACTATTATGTTTTTCTTTCCAACAAATACATGTCATAACATTTAAGTGTTTCTCAGGGTAAGGCCAATTTGAGTTACTTTTAAAATAATAGGTAAAGTACAGTTAAGTATTGCAACATGTCAGGTGTTGGGTATATGTACAAAGAAGCTAGCAACTATGAGTGTTAAATAAATGTAGTCGAATACAAATATTGGCTTGCAAAATGAAGTGGACAAGAAGTACATGTAGCAAGAGAAAGATAACAAATTGCAGATATTTGGTGAATTTCCAATAAAACTTACAGTGATGGATGCATGAACTGATGGGGGCCTTCTGGGGTCGGAGCGTTCCAAACTTACAGTCCCTTTCAGTGTTAGTATTGGCAGAGGAGCTAGGAAAAAATGAACAATCAGGAAAATGTCAAATTAAACTGAAATGGTTATTTTCATGTTGACAATGCTGACACCCTTATATGTTTGAATTGAATAAAAAATATTCAAGAATAAGATTTCCCTTTTTAACATTTTACAGACAAAAATATACCTTTTTTTGGAAGAACAGCACTATTAGTATGCAATGTAAAACACAGCATTATATTTGATCCATACATCGCCAATATTCAATATTATTTTGTGATTTTTTTGCTATGTCTTTTGTTATTGTCAATTTCAAGCCCCTTTCGAACAGAGTCTAAATGACATGATTTAAAGTTAAATTCCACTTTGGTGAAATATGTTTCAAATTCCAAGCCTTAATAGCATGGCTCAGAGTAAGCAGGGACTCGCATAACATATATCAATAAATCTATTTGGTAGCCCAGACAGTCTCCTGCAAAAAGCCGCTCTATGAGTAATCCATTTAGCTCCCACTGAGGCCCACTCATAATAAGTTGTACTATGAGGCTGACTCATGTTCACTCTCAGGCTGTGACTGCACACACACGCTCCCCCAGGCTCCCCATGAGTGGAGGTGTGTGTGTGTGTGTGGGCTGGATTGTACTGTCATAAAGGCAAATCATTTCTTCATTAAGGATTCATAACCTCACTGTATAATTACTTCAATGATCCTGTAATGTGGACTTAATCCAATCACGGTTCTCCTTTAATTATGAAATCTTTATTTGAATTTTATCAAAGAAAAACACAAAAAAACGTTGTAATTATCTGTCTAACAGTGCATGTATTATGTCGTTATTGTATTTTCCATCATGTTGCAGAAGCTTATTTACAGTCTTTGTGCATTTTTGTAGTCCATAATTAAAGCAATTGCATTTATTAAGTGTAAAGCTAGCTCAGACTTATTCACATGTTGCGTTTCATTGTTGATGATCTTAAGAAAAGTTGTATTAAGTTCCTTTCACTCACATTACATACTCTTCTTTAGAAATATATAAATAAAAAAAGGAGAACACCTACAATAATCAAGATTACTGGGTAAACTCCCTCTGCTTATGAAATTGATGTGATATAAATAAAAACAATAGAAGAACCTACTAAATTAATGGTGAGCATTTTGCATCAGTCTTTAAACATACAGCAGGATATTGTAATCTAAAGCTGCATCTGTGACCAAAAATATGTCGCTATAATATTCTATACTGTTATAGCTCCAGGTTTACCCCCTTCCTGCTGATAGAGAAACACCACATCAGCACTACATTATCCTTAACCACCGCTGTTTGGGATCAGGACCAATCAACACCACAGTATGAAAGCTATTTTCATGTCGAGTCTATATACTTTTGTCCTCACACTTGCAATAAAGTTTCATTATCTTGTTTGTCCTTGTGTTATCGTATAGCTTTGGAGTATTGTAAAACAACCTGAATACACCATCACACACGCGCAGAGTATGATTCATGTATTGTACGCACAAATGATTGAGAGGGAATAACTAAAAGTGTGTGAATGATCTCACATTGGTCCCTGAGAGAGGCCGCCTCGTTCCCATCAGTCAGCTGCCTGCATGCTATCTGGAGGCAGACAGGGTGAAGATAAAACACAGTTACCTTCTGGAAATTGCTATAATTGAGTGATTAAGACCAATGACGTCAAATGAAAGCGTTTCCTTTTTTTTTTTTTATACTGAATGAACGTTCACTTAGCCCCATTCACACACGTCGGTATGAGTGTGACTCACCAGCGCCATGGCCTTGGGCTTTGTGCTCAGCATCTGTGTTTGTGCTGCAGCAGTTGCTGGTGAAAGACAGAGTGGTGATGGAGAGTCAAAAAGCCTATTTTTGCACCTAAAAACAAAAGAAATTGGATTATTAGACGAGCGGATCTGCCTTTGTCCTTTAGTGATGTATCTGCTTTTGCCAAAACAGTGCAGGGGCCATAATTCACCATTACTGTGATGATTAGGTCTGAAATAATGAGATTTTTTAACTTTTTAAAGTACATCTTCAGTTTTAACCAACTGTGTGTGACTCACATGCAGGCTTCGCTGTCCTTACAAAAACACGAAGAAAGTTCAAACGACACGACAGGTTTGGATGTTTTCATCCCCAACGTCAACTCAACCGTCTTATTCCTGGACTCCTCACCCTTTCTCCTGCCCTGTTGAAATCACACAGATTATCATAAAATACCATACTTGAAACTGGAGAAATAAGGTTATGACAAGTTTATTTATCTCCCATGGTGAAAAAGTTTAAAATGTCTGCAGCTGACAGTTTAAGATCAGTCAAACAGCTTAATTTTGCACCCTTTAAAAAAGAAAAACTAAACAAACACATAACTTAGAGGGGTGGAATAAAAGTGTAAGCAGAGGTGGGAGAAGTACTGATCTTGTACTTGAGTAAAAGTAGAAGTATCAGTGTGTAGGAATACTCTGTTACAAGTAAAAGTCCTGCATTCAAAATGTTATTCAAGTAAAAGTACAAAAGTATAAGCATGAAAATATACTTAAAGTACCAAAGTACTCTGAGTGTAAGTGATTAAAGCAAGTAGCAGAGAACTGTTATTGCATATTAATGAAAAGTATACAAATATACTAGCTTTTACAAACCACTGCTGATTCAGCTGGGCACTGAGGTAGTTTCTCCTCATCAAATTCCATGGTTTCTCTTAGAAAGATAGACAGATAGCCTACATGTTATGCACCAGCAATTGCAATTTCGTTATTACAGCTTTAATAGAAGTAGTGGCAACAGTCACCTACACACAATACCACTGACTGCTTTATTAATGCAACTTTTGCTAACGTTTCTCTTCATTTCAATTCGTTCTTTAGAGTTTTTCTTTTTTTTTTAACCTCAACCTTTCACTTAAATAAACGGAAGACCTAAAACATTGACAAAATCACTACGACATGTAGTATTTAACTGGTTTTCACCAAATACAGTCTATGGTTTTCACACATTTAACTGGTTTAACACATTTACCGTTGCTATGATGGGTAGAGTTGAACAGGTACACCGGAAGTAAACTGAGGTAGCGTGGAGCAGACACGCATTTAGTTTGTAGTCATTTAAATTCAGCAGAATGATAACACTACACACGTCATCAGCTCATAACGTCATGACGTAAGCTTACCCGCCGCTAGGGGGCGGGGCCGAGCTGAACGTCTACTCTGGGTTGCGTTCGAATACTCCAAAAAAACAGCTCCTAAGTTCTAACCCT